CCCCCCCCGGCCTGAGCAGGATTACAATGGTGCTTTTCTTTTGAAAGGGGGCGGGGGGGTAAATGTTCCCTGAGATATTTGCAATTAGAAACAATAAAAATCGTAAAAATGTAAAATTTTGAATTGGGGCGTGACGCGAAATTAACCCATTTACAGGCAAAAACAGTAAATACTAAAGTAGGGTGCATTACCAGCTAATGGGTTAATAAAAGACATTGGCGGATGTGTTTGTTAAACCATTTACTGACAGTACTTTAATTTATCACTGACAAGTAAAATCGTCTGGCGGTACAGGTGTAAATTTGTCTGGCATTAGTCAGAGTTATTACTGAAAGTAGTGTGCATTGCCAGCTAATAGGTTAGTAGACCTTAATATCCGCTTTTGACCCAATGGCCTCATTTTCATGTTGGTTATTTACTCGTATTCCGTGCACACAATTTAAGAATAAGCTTGTGATTGAGCTTAAATGATGAACGAGAAAAAAAAATTGTGCAGCAAACATAGGGGATATAACCTACATGTGCTACCAACGGTGAAACGTGGAAATGAAGCCATTGGGTCAAAAGTAAACTTTCCTTTGGAGAATTGTTTAGAAATACAAATTTTTGCATTCAGTTCATATGGCAAAAAAGCAGCACTTTCCTTGCGGTAGTAACCCTAGTTATAGATTTGCACCATAGGTCTCCCGAAAAGGTTTTTATTTTTTTCAAAAATCCATACAATATGCTTGCGGTTTACGACTTATATTCTTGTCTACTGCACCATAAGGCCTACTCTGAAGCGGTAAATCGCCGTGAGATAATGCGATTTTCGGCGATTTTAGGAAAAACTGGGACTTTCAAGCACTGTGATTTAATGCGATTTTAGGTGATTTAAGGCGATTTAAGAAAAAATCTTAAATTTTAGAGATTGCAATTTAGGTGTTTTCAAGGTAATTGAATTTTATATTTTGCCCCGGTTTCCTCCCACAGGGCAAAATTTTATATTTTATATAAAATTTTATATAATACCTTATTGAATTCTGATCGTTTAATTGGCTCTTTATGGTCACGTGATATTGAACAGAAAATTCCATTTCCCAAGAGTGCAATGGAATACGTTCCATTGCACTCTTGCGAGTGCAATTGTACTATACGTTTTATTCCATTGCACTCTTTATGTTTTCGATAAATCGCATCCGTCAAAATGCTTCTCGTACGGTGATCGCAGTTTATTTTAACCCGATATTCGAAACTCAGTAAATGGGATTTAATAGCAGAATCCATTCCTACAGCACAAGATCGTGTAACAACCTCCATCTCCCGAAAGTCAACACGAACTGGGGTAAACATAAACCAAAGACTTTAACAACTTGGACGTTTCCGTCAGAAACACCGATTCTCTGAGTCAATTTAAGTCACTCCTTCTCAGCAGGGGCCATTACGAGTAGAACGTGCACGTTCTACGGATGTAATTCGTTCATATCTTTGGTTCAGTGCACGCTATGTAAATGAAAATACTACCATTCGATTCAGTATAAAAATATACACTAATTTATAACGATAGTTTTAGTCAGTGGCTAAATTGTAGCGACTTATGAGCTTTGAAAGTCAAGCGAGCTTGGTATTTGATCAAATTACACAATATTACTAACAAATTATAAACATAGACATACCTTTCGCCGAACATAACTTCGGCCCCTTGAGACGTATGCTCATTCTGGTAGTCTTGTTGAATGAAGCAGTTAAAAATAACACGTATACTGTTATTTTCAAGCTTCTATCTTTAACATACGAGTTTTCTTGCCGAATTTTGCATTTCTGTCCTGAATTTGCGTTAATCCCAACCGGAAATACGACGAAAAACCGTCAAAACAATGCGTAGTTTGTATCGCGTGACTCTGGAAATGCCAGAAATGGATTCTACAGGTCAAAGTGCACCCATACGCGTGAGTTTGACGTCATCCCGGCTAAAGGGAGCTCCTTATTGGCCAAGTATTACGTAATACAAGCGCATGCGAGTAAAACCCGATACCTTGAAAAATTAAAAATAAATATTTCTACTCGCCGTATTCATACGAAACTTTCTACACTAAAGCGCTTGAATACAAAGAGTATTTTGCACATATATCCTTTCAGAAAATAACCCCAAATTTTAGAATATATTCAACTTTTTCTCTTTTTCCCGTTTGAATGTTTGGCGAAGCCGTGAGTATAAATATATGATTGTTTCGGTTTGTGTAATGTTTTGACGGCACTTGACCCCCCGTTCGAAAGGTTATATTGTGAGGATTTCAATGGTGGCATTTATTTAATAGGGGGGTAAATACTCGCGGAGATATTTATATTAGAAAAATTGTATCGAAATGTAATACGAAACCGGTTGTCATACATTGTTCAATATTGTTGACAAGTGTGAACAACGTGGGCAGCAAAACATTGTTTACTACATGATTTGTCAGCAAAATAGCAGCAATTGATAAACTTGAGTACATAGACTGAATGTATCAAACAGAATGCATGTTGGCGAGTTAATGCGATTTTAGGCGATTTGAGAGAAATTTGACAATTTTAACCCGCGATTTAATGGGATTTTGGGCGATTTACCGCCCCAGAGTAGGCCTACCATAGCAGGTATGTCGTCATTTTCAGGTCAGTGTGAACGCCTGAGCAGGCGTCTTGTTGAAAGTTAAAACGACTGACTACGGAGCAAGGAGTATTTCATTAAATTCCCAGGTGTATAAGGCCACGGTCAAACGTCGAACTTTTCATGTGCCGAACCTATAATGTAAATGAAGTGAACTGGCAAAGAACTTAGCTCATTAAAGTGCCTATATCATGGTTTTGGAGTTTGCATATCTCGAAAGTTTAGGATATTTTAAGACACTTTGCAATATATTTCTTTGCAATATATTTTGTTATTGAAAAATTTCATCTTGATGGATTTATTAGCTCTTAAAGTTACCGGACATGACGTCAAAAGGAGAATTGCAAATCAGTTTTCCTTTGTATTATTGCAACAAAATTCTCCTTTTGACGTCATGTCCGGTAACTTTAAGAGCTAATAAATCCATCAAGATGAAATTTTTCAATAGCAAAATATATTGCAAATTGTCTTAAAATACCCTAAACTTTCGAGACATGCAAACTCCAAAACCATGATATAGGCACTTTAACATTAGGTTCGGCACATGAAAAATTCGACGTTTCACCCTGGCCTAATAATGCGCTTTTAACAACAAAAGAGTGATTTCTAAAGGGTCACGTTTTTTGAGACACCCTGCAGTACCGAAAGTTACCCTACGCACTCTATACACAAAATAATGTGTGCGTAAGCGTTCTTTGTTAGTTTGTTTACGAGTATCATGCAGTTCAGTAATGCAATACTTGAAAAACATGCGCGTCAAGGATTGCTATTTTTGAAATATTTTGAATAAAATAATTTTAGATAAAATCATTTTAAGTATCTCTAATCATAACACTTCTGTTATTTATGTTCGTTTGTTCTCACACCCGAGAAAGTGCCTATGAAGTATATATGGGGTGAGGTATTAATTGGGACGTAAGTCCTGTTCCACATTCCAGTCATGTGTGTTGTCTTGTAGCTTGTTATGTATATTGTTTATCAGTGTCTTTGTAAAAATTTGTGACAAATTTAATAATAATAATAATAATATACTCCATGGCTCCAAGACTAAATTCTGTAAAGTCATGTACAGAACACAGTTAACTAATCGTGGCTACATAAAATTACTTGCGAATACTAGAAACATAGGGGCCACTTGAAGTAGCATTGTTTTGCTTCGTGGCATGAACCAAACCTAATCAAGCTAATCAAATTAAATACTGCACAAGTTCGGTTGCTGATTTAGACATTGGAATTGCGCCGTGCCAAAATACAAGTAAACTATATCAGAAATTTTAGTGCTCAATTGCTAGTACAGTATATCGTAATCGTATATGATAATGAACGTTAATTAAAAGAATGCATGCATTAAGGACAGTCGCAGGCATCGAATGTAAAGTCGCTCAGAAATAAAAGACGATCACATATATACAATCAAAGTAGGCAAGTAAATATGATTTTAAAATATAAAATTCATTACAAATTTTATTGTTTAGTATATTCTCAGAGGTATATTCTATAATGATATATTTACTATACACTGATACACGTCTGGGCCGCCTGTGGACCATGGTGTCTAAACCCATGTCGAACTTGTGTCTCGCCCTGTATGGCATAATAGGACATGACTTGCAGTATTTTGTGCCGTATCGAATCTAACCAAAACTTACTGAACTTAATTGATGTACTCCGATGCTGCTCTTCTGTCGTATTTGACCGTCGTATATTAGGTTCAGCGCATGAAAAGTTCGCCGTCTGAACCGGGCATTTAGGAAGAGTTATCGCTCCGAATTTTCGTCGGTTAGCCCACTTGCACGGATGCATTATTAGCAAAGATATGAGATCTGGGCTTCCAAAATGAACGGCAGTTTTGGCAAAATTGGTTTCGGTTTCGACACGCCGGAAACACGAAGTGGTCTGGTGTAAATACAATATGAGTGGTTATTTATCAATATTACAATTTGGAAAGTCACGTCTTTGAAAAACTCACGAATTATACAAGTCGAGTGTGAGTTTTTCCCAAATTGAATGAGAAATCATACTACTTATTGCTAACATACATGAAAAACTTCGGTAAAAGCAAATTCAAAGTCACTTTGTCATGCATGAAACAAGCTTTATACAAAGTTCATTTGGAGGAATAGCATTGCGTGGGCGAGTGAGTTTTCGGACTACGTGGAACGTCTGCACGTACGGTTCTAGTAACAAGAGAGGAATTAAAAGCAGTGTACACTGATCATTCTGGTCACAAATTCGACAGTCTCTGAGAGATCAGCTCACTGTGATATATTCGAGTATAGTTCGAAAGTGTTCTGACTTCTGACCGAGTCACTCGTTGGTGATAATTTAAAGCAAAATTGTTCAGATCTACTTGTGATTTAATCAGTGTGATTAAATGGCGAACGATACGGAACTCACTGGATCGTTCATTTGGAGCAAAACACGGAAGAATTTATCAAAAATTCTTAAAGATTATCAACTACCTCAGATTGTTCGAGTCGTTGATGGTTTCTGTGGCAAAAACGAAAACACGACCATAAGTAGTGAACAGATACTAGCCTTGCACGAAATACATTCAGACCGAGAGCTACTTGGTACGGACAATTCGGGCAAGCAAGTAATAATTCCATTAACATGTCCAACACAAGTCCTAATCTTCCCGTCCAAATGTAAGTACAAGCCGTGTAAAATAGAAAATTTTCAATCCATTTTTCCTAACATACAATACGTACGAGTGAAAAGCTTGGGGCCTCAATCAAGGAATGCCAATAATGAAAGCACGTTCACAGTTGGTGACATAATACAAATTCAAAAGATTGACAGAAAAAAGAAAAGTGTCCTTTGTCAGAATACTGACACAAAAGGAGACATGACTCTTTCCTACAAATCCCTGGCGACTTTTACCCCCTTACTAGACTGCCGGAAATATACACTCTCGGAAGTCGTGACAAACTACGGCCTGCCATCGAGGGTGTGCTTTGTAAGCACCCGTTCGCAGGCCGATCAAAATTCGAATCAGTGCAACAGCGCGTTAACAGGTCTCACTGAAGTAGTCTTTCATAAAGAGGTAACGACGGAAGTTAAAGTTATCGCAACTACCGTAGAGGGAGGGGTGGGTAAACTGGCGCATTGTATAGGTCTACCGACGGACCTACCCATCCGCTGCACAGTCGCAGAACGTTTCACTAAAAATGGCCGAAGTTATGAAGATTTTGTTCGTACGCTACATGCAGGTTTCGACAGCAAGAACCTACGATTAAAGATATACAATTTAACTTTTTCCGAAAGTATGGCGACTGTTCAACGGTCACAACCCAACACCTCACCAAGTCCTGTACAAAGTAATGCGGAATCTACGATGACAGCTGAAGTACACGACGAACCTGCACAAAATCGCCCCGAAGTTAGTGCGACCACAGACGAAGATGATTACGTTGACATGAGCTTATTTCAGAAAAACATTTATGAATATATTGATTGTGAAAAGAACAAACATTCAGTTGTTAACCAGAACAACCTTGATATCTATGTCTCGATGGACAATTCAGCTCACCTTACCGGCAATGCAATTTATGTAAATGCTCCATCAACACCAAAAGTCCAGGATTATTTGAGAAACGAAGGTTCACAACAGCAAACACCATTCAATCAACCTGAAATTAATTCAAAACATTCACAATATTATGAAGAGGTTAAGCATGTATGGAATTCAAACTCGAAGCAGGAGTTTGCAGATCATAAAAATCAGTTGATCAATTTAACAGAGCACAAATAAAGTTAGTTTAATTTACGCTTCCAGCTGTAATGACACTGAACAAACAAGGAAGTCTCCTTACTGGACATGGACACAGTTTACAACTGATAGACCTATATTCGGTATAGATAAAGTTGGCTTTAGAAAAAGCTTTGTTTTTTTTAATTTTTTTTTGTTTTTTTTTAGAAAAAGCTTTGTTGGCTTTTTTAAAGTTGGCTCTTTGTTTTAGCTGTAGAAACAGTGGAATAATAATTAAGGGATGCCGCTTACTGTACCTAGGCCGAAGGAGAATAGTTTAGAACTGATACAGACGTAATAGAGGTATCAGAGTATAAATAAATTATACCCGAGGTTACAGTTCAGCCTTTTGATTGATGGTTTTTACTAGGTGCATTTCAGCTCTTTTAATTGAAAAAACTAACTAGGAAAATCAATTATGCATAATTCAATATCAGTAAACTCAATGTTTTTAACAATAAAAATGTTTTACAGCACCTGCCCCATACTATACAGAAGTACATCTCCATTGGTTTTTGCGCAAGCGCAAGTACCGGAAACAGAAGCAGTCACACCCCTGGCGTGTGCCATTTTTAATATTTCCAAGGAGGGTGACTGTTTCTGTTTACGGTACTTGCTGAGTGACGAGTCATGCATGACGAATAGAGCTTACGCAAAAAACAATGGAGATGGACTTCTGTATAGTATTCTGTGCCCACAATCAAGTAACCACAAAGACTCACAGATGTTAATTGCGAAGCAACATCCGTGAGTCAAAAATTATCTGCATCTTCCGAAACCAAAGCTCTGGATCTATCTATCGATCTATCTATCTAGAAAGCGGGAAGGGAGAGGGACACACGCGCGAGAGCACAAATGCGCAAATTATTACCGATCTTGACTCAGATTTCGTAACTTATCAACACTACGCCAGATAGCTTAACAGCACTCTAGAAATTTATTTAAAGATGTATACTGAGTATTATTATAAAGAGATCATCGTTTATCATGCTAACTATTATTAAACCTTTGCAAAAAACCTTTCCATTCTCGTATACAGAGTTCTTGTTTTTTTATTTCGATTTTCGAGACCGGAGTTTCAAAAGTCACTCCGGGTTTTCTCAAAGACGAGTCCGGGTATTTTCCGGGTCCCGGTTTTTCTCGAGTCCGGATTTTCTTCGAGTCCGAGTTTCGTAGACTACGACATAGTCTGTGTGTAATGTGATAAGTGCTAAACACAGTCAAAACTGCTGATGACACTACAGATGACTGCAATGACATGTCTGACACTGAGTCAAACCATTCTGGTAACAATAGTCTATTTCAAATGTTAGTTGATTAGGGTTATTGTATATTAAGTGTACACTGTATATTGCATTGGGGATCTTTAACTTCAATATATCCACACCATCAGTGATCCACACATACAGATGTGAAGTCCATGTAATAGTTATAAAATGATTTTGGTTTACAAAATCGTATACATTCATACCTTCAATTATACCCTTTTCAAAAATTAACACATTGAACTATAATGTGCCCTAATGTACTTTACTTTTGTGGTGTGTCTAATCCCAGACAATTTTACTTATCAAGGAAGGAGTTGGGTGTTAAAGCACTTCAGCATTACTTTTATAATTAAAATTGTATGGGAATTTATAGTCAGATAAAAGTTTTAAAATTGCATTGCTTTTGGACATGTGTCATAAGAATAACATTTTCCAGGCATGCATATGTATATACCTGTACATATATTATTTGTAATACTGTAATAATCATAAATATTTACATAG